AAATATTCTCCAACTCGACTTCCCATCACATACCCGATCTGGAGAAGTGGGCTGTAACCCCGCCAAAACTCGCACTGAAATGAATGTGGTAAGGCTCTCACAGGCCGCTAGGGTGAGGAGCCGTGTTGGTATAAAGCAACAGAACAAAAATTAGGGCAGGGAAATTCGCGTCCGGGGGCACCTTTAAGACCAAGGGACCCTCTAGCTATATGTATGGACTGGTCACTTCCATTTCACTGTATCCGAGGAAGCAGGCTTGCACACGACAGCTTATATGTGCAATATGAAGAGAGGGTTTTAGTCACGCGGGATCCTGGGCGTAGCCCTTTGTACTAAATTGTTTTAAATCGTTTTATTGTGTTTTACTGCACTGAGTGCCAAATTGCATGCGGGGAGGGCGGGGTATAAATGAAAATAAATAAATAAATATACCTTGAATAAAGCTTTGTTGGTTTTAAAGGTGCCCGCAGACTGGAGTTTTGTTCGAATGCCGGTAGGGTTTTGTTCGCCCTGACCTAGTTCGTCTGACCGTCGGATCTCAGAAGCTAAGGAGGATCAAGCCTGGCTTTAGTACTTGGATGGGAGACCACCAAGGAAGTCCAGGATTACTCCACAGAGGCAGGCAACGGCAAACCACCTCTGAATGGCTCTTGCCTTGAAAACCCAACGGGGTCGCCAGTGTCAGCTGCGACTCGACGGCGCTTTGCTCTCCCGCCGCCAGGGTTTTGCTTTGCTACCACCGAGTGACGCGGCTACTACCCCTCTCGGCCACAGGGGGAAACGCCGCCCTTGTGGTCTTCCGGTATGGAGCTAGTTGGGAAGGGAAGCAAACCCAAGTCCAGCCCCGGGTCGCGTGAAATGGCAATAGAGCGACGGGATTTGCCCACCCTTTCCCGCCCACGCCAACACTTCTGCCGGACCAGCTGGCCTCTTTAACAGTGTTAAATATTGGGTTCCATGGATGAGCAGGCTGGAGTCTAGTGATCAGTTCAACTTTATTTGCGATTTCAGCAAGACCAAGACAAGACTCCATACCCAAACACACCCCACTCAGCTCTGTTAAATAGGTGCCATACCCAAACACACCCCATCCCAATGATAGGCTATTTACATAACATTACTACTTGACTGGTTACTTTCAGAGTCCTGGTAGGCTATTGTTCTTGTGCTTCAAGCTTAGTCAGTCTCTGGGTGACAGACCTGGAATGATTCACTCCTAATACAGGAATTCAGACTAGCAGAATTTGAGCCTCTATTTAACACACCCCTATTTCAGACGCAGGGATTCAAACAGCTTGGAGCCGCACAGGGCATGCACCCATTTTATTTTTTAAAAAGAAACCTAAAAACGTGATTAATCAAGGTGTCAAAGTCGCGTGTTAGTCACAGAGGCCAACGGGGTTTATTGCTACTGGGTCGAAATGCAGTCTGGCAGTCGGGAGGCTTCCAACCACGTGCTTTAAACCCGTCATAAGCATCCCTCGGCTCCCCCGGCTTTCTGAACAGCTGCAGAGGGATCCTGGTCACAATGGCATTTAAGCACGTAATCAGACTAGCGACTGCAGGCAAACGCCTGCCTGCCCACACACTTGAGACCGACGATGAATCCTCGGGTTACTAGTACAAAGCATGAGGTTAATCGCTTGTAAGAATGCGCCCCCTTGTGGTGAAATGTGAGATGTACCGCGCAGTTTTTAACTATGTCTGTATTGTGGCATCCTGGAAAGGCTGTGGCTAAGTATTTTAAATAAATACGGAAGTGCTGTGACTGGGAGAGTGCGTCAGACCAGGATCTGCTAAGTGAAAGGACTCTCTGCACCTTTTCACTTGTATCACATTATGCATGAGTGCTAGAAATGAGAGCTGGTGTTAGAGCATTGGACTAGGATCTGAGCAGGCCTGTAGCTACAGTGGGGCATTTCGGGGCCTCCCCCACGACTTTCTGCCAAGGCCCCCTGACTTCCGTCCAGCCCCCTGCCCCCCCAGTTCTCTGGGCCACCCAGAGGTCTCTCCACCGCTGTCCCTTCCCCAAGCACGGCTTGCTTCCCCAGGCAGAGTGTGAATGCTACAAAAGTGAAGTTTTTAAAATGTTATTAAAATATTACTTTTTATTTTGTGATGTCAGTGCTCCCTGAATTATTTAAAGCCCCCCCCAAATGACAAAATCCTGGCTACGGGACTGGATCTGAGATACCCAGGTATGAAGCTCTCCTGGGTGACCTTGGGCCAGTCACCTTCTCTCAGGCTAACCTACCACACAGGGTGGTTGTGAGGGTAAAGTAGAGAAGGGGAGAATGATATAAGCTGAACTGACATTGTTGGCGAAAAGGCAGAACAATGCACTATTTCATAAGAACATAAGAAGAGGCCTGCTGGATCAGACCAGAGGTCCATCTGGTCCAGCATCCCATCTCACACACAATGGTCAGCCAGTTCCTCTGGAGGTCCAACAACAGGGTAGACAGGCCGATACCTTCCCCTGATGTTGCCTCTTGGGCTCTGGGATTCAAAGGCTTAGTGCCTCTGAATATGGAGGTTCCCCTCAGTCACCATGGCTAGTATCCATTGACAGACATGAATCTATTTAAAACCCGTTTTAAAGCTGTTTATTAAATGTGTCATTTTATTTTCCATTTTAGAATGGGGAAATGTTTTAAAAATCCTGCCAATCCAAATTTTTGTATCCAGCACCAAATTCCATGTATCCAACAGGAAGATGACCCTGAACATGACAAACCCCCCCCCAAGGTAATATACACAAAAAGTTTTTTGATTGCTATACATAACTGAAACCTGTATGCAAGACTAAGATGCTCTTTTTCTTAAAGGCATATGCAGGGGGAGGGGGTTGGTCTTCTTTTCAGGTAAATAGGGATAGTATTCGGCAAACCAAAATAGTACAACTTCTTAAGCCAAGGGGTCAAACATAGTGACAGATGACTATTGCTGTGACAGAAAAACCCAGTTGGTCTTACAATGTTATCTCCATGGATCCCTCCAGAATAACTCACATTTCCTTATGAAATTTCACACCCAGTTTTTATAAGACTGTTAGGAAATTGCTCCACACCTTGGAA